CAGGTTTTACCTGTTGGTGACGATGATGTTGGTCTTTCTGTGTCCAGGATACAGACAGTGATCTCTGAACACTTCACCCTCCAGCTGTTTGATCTCTGATCGCTGGAAACACAAACAGACTCCCAGGTTTTATTTACCGACCACCTGCGGTTTGAATCTGAACATTATACATGAACATAAGGTGACCCCGTCGTTCAGTAAAACCATACAGGGTCCACACTGATGCACCAAGAGGTGGATTTTACCATGCGGTGTAGCTCGTTGCTGGATGACTTCTAGTTGAAACAAGGACATTTAACAGTATGAAAGAATCGGCTATATATAAAAGGAGGAAGCAAGCTGACATGTTTGATTGTTTTGGAGATTCTGAAGGTTCAGGTTTGGCATTTTTGTTGCTGGCATCTATTTTTATTTGCGACAGGACTTCATAGCGAAGGGAAGGATCTGTCTCAGAAAAAAAAAAAAAAAAGATTAACCAAATCAAAGATAGACCTGCCCTAAAATATATCCTGCTTTTTCATAAAAGGAACATAATCTTGCATGAAGGACATCCTGAAACCAACAAACGAGACCTTAATCTCACAGGAAAGTATTTATTCAGACTTATATGAGGTGAGAAGTAGAGCATCTTTCTGAAACACTTGCAGTCCAACTATACGACTATTTGTAATAATCCTTTAAAAACACCGTTCTCCTTGGAGAACCCCAAACTTTTTGTGCAGATGCCAGATGGAGGAAATTCTGAAAGCATGACACCAAATGCTTCGATTAACAGCAGAAATGTTAATAAGCGTGAAAAGTGATCCCGTTTTGTGGAATAAACCATAACTAATTAACCAGTGAAGCAAACCCACCACCAGAAGAAGAGAGAGGAAACTGTGGACGTATCAGAGGAGCTACACACACTTCTATATGGCCGAGGATGCTAACATGTTGCCAAGCACACTAAAAGACGTATACGCAAACCAAACACGCCCTCTGAGAGAAATCTGACCTACTTCAAAAGAAGGATCGGAACCAGAGTGTGTGATAGCGTGATTCTGTGAAAGCACGTGTTAGTGAGTCGTTACTCTTCTAACCACATGCTGACAGTAAAGGCGACAGCCCCGCCCCCTCCCACCAAGCCCTGCATTTGGAAAAAGAAAGGTGTGAGTAAGAATTTTTATTAAACACAAATCTTACAGACAGCGACACGCTCTCAGCTGACAAACACTCAGAGGTGACGTTAGCGCAGACACAACAGAGGTCATGCAGACGGAGTCGTACAAAGAGTACATCATCACAAAGACACAAATATTAAACAGCAAGTGTTCATATACAAGTTCAGAATGAATTTAAAGCTGACGCTACAGAACGATACAAAAATATCGGTAAGCTCTACACGGACATGTATCTCAGCTTTATAGCAAAATAATTTCACCACCTGCTAGTCTTGTCTGAATAAACAATATGTAATAAATGGCTATAAACAAAAAGGGTCATTTAAAAACTATTGTTTATAAACAGAAATAAAAAACTAAAAGCAGAAATGTTTTGTGTAGAAAAAGTAATAAACTGAGAGCTGAGTGTAGAAATGTTTGAGGTATGAGAAGAGAGATTAGTTTTGGCATGCATAGAAACCTGAATCATCTCAATATCCAGAATCAATGTGGATATAACAATAATATAGACTATTATAGAATATTATAGGATGAGGAATTGAACCATAAACATTTTATTAGTCATAGACAGGATTATAGTCTTTCAAAGCACTTGATTGATAAGTTGATCCGCCCAAACGAACACGATTATTCCTCCTCAGGCTGCATGTGGCACCAACACAAGAAGAAAAACAAAAAAGAAAGAAAAAAAAAGGGGTTAGAAGCACAGACACACAATATATTAGCAGCTCCAGAATAAAGTTTTTCTGCTGTGTTTTCCAGCAGCTGAGATCTGATTCCTCATATCTCGTTTCTCCTGCTTTCTGATGTCTGCCTGATTGCTGGGTGTAGACTGTGTTCACAGTGAATGTGTGTTTTGGCTCAGCTTGTTTTTAATTCATAAATATCCGGAGTGTGTGTTCAGAGCTGCTGCTGTTTTGGATTTTTATCTGCTGATTGGTTTTGGGGCAGAACTGTTTTTGTTTTTAACAGCAGAAGACCACACCTGCTTCCTCTCAGCAAGCAACATCGGGTCGTTATGGAGCAAAACGGTCAAAGCGATCGAACCTGGAAAAGGTCGAATCCCTGCGACTCGGTCAGGTCATACGGCCTGATGATCCCATCCTCCCTGATCAGACGCACCGGCCGTAGCTTGGTCACTTCCTCTGTCGCCTCGGCCGCCCTGAAATCACAACACACGCGGGAAAACAGAGACGCACTTGAAAAATTATTCTAGTGCTACAGAAACTGAAACAGACTCATTCCTGTGCCTTCCTGCTGAAGCTTAATAACTTCATATGGTGGAAGTGAAGTTGAAGCATCGTCAGTCGGCATGCTGACTAGTCGTTTCTACAAAATGAGCCCTGAGAGTTGGATCTGCTACAACCCCGTTTCCAAAAATGTTGGTGCACTGTGCAAAATGTACAGAAAAACAGAACAGTCATTTGCAAACCATTTAAAGTCTGTATTTAACTGAGAGATCAAATATTGAAACAAACATTTTTCTCAGGTCTTGAAAGCTAAATGGACGCGTTTAATGTTAACTCTGTCCCCGTAGTGACGAATTATGTCACTATTAATAAAGCTAGGGCTTGTTTCCAGATTGTTCCAAGAGCTGCTGCACGGGCAGAGACCTCACCCTCGTCTGATGCACACCAGGTCAGTTTGAAACCTGCCACAGACTTTGAGGCGGTAAAGAGTCACTCATTCTTCTACCAACACTTGCTGTGCTTTTGGAAGCCAAACAATTTTCTATTTCACTTATTCAGCAGAGCCTCCTGTGTGTATATTTCCAGTGGCTGTTTATGAACAGAGAATTATGGATTCTGTGGATCTTCTAATGTTGTTAAATTCATTCTTTAAAAAGTACTTTTTCTCTAAATTGTAGAAACTACTGCATCTATCTGTCATTTTGTACCACTGATTACACTCAGTGTTGTCTTTTTGATCCATTTTCAGTCAAATAAAGATTTTAAATGTTTTCCTTTAACTTCATATTTGTCCTAACCTTTTTGGAAACGAGGCTGCAGTTCAACCCTGAAGCGCATTCAGAGTGAAGCAGGTTCATTTCTAATGCGCACAATGCTGCGAGAAGCTTCCGTCAGGTGCGATATCTCACCTTTGGTGACCTCTACAGTGACAGCGTGAAACGGTAACATTCAACAGGTTATCATGAACCGACGGACGTGTCACAGGACAGATGTGTCCTCCATACGGAGGAGGGGGAGGAGGATGAAGGTTGATAAGGTTCCTGGGAAATGTTTTGGGCATTTCAAAGTATTTCTTTCTACTTAAATGTGTGGACAAAAGACTAGTTAAAGACAAAGGTCACTGCTGATGTACACAGAGTTGTTCTACCTTTATCCCAAATATCTCTGTCCTGATAGAAGAGCATATAGAAGACAGATGTTGATATCCAAATAGGGGAATGTTTTTAGTAAGAATGATTTGCATCCCTCCGGTAGAGCGCTGGCCCAGAACCTTCATGAGACACTTGATATTATTATTTGTCACCTGCTTCCTAGTATCTATAATTACTGCCACGTATATTTTAAATCTGAACCATCGCCTAACATGTTCAGAATGTACTATGTAGATGGAAATAATCAACTAGTATTTAAAAATATTTAGCAGCACTTTGCACTTTGCAGTGCAGTTTTCTCTTTGATGCAGCTCAAAGCTGTTTTCAGTGCGAGCGTCACCTCAAACAAACCAACACCGTGGCCGTTAGTGTTTCTTTACACAATCAGTATGAACCAAGGTGCCAAACTCAGGCTGGAAGAACCATGTGACCATTCAGTCAGCCAATCCCTGAGGAGAGACCAGGTGATGCTTTGAGATTCACTGGCAGGTGGGACAACAGAGGTTACTGCAGACTTTAAAGTACTCAGTGGTGAGATTAAGGTAAGTGTATACAGAAACTCATCTGTCCTCGGTTATATACCTGCAGAAACGTCAGCAGGACGTGAACACAGTGTTTCCCATAGATTAGCAGAGATGGGTTTGTCCACACGGCCTCTTAATGAATCAATAAATGTATCGACACATATTTTATGAGTGACAAATAAATAACTGATCAGCTGCCTCTCATCCTGTCGATTAACTCTAAATCCATCATCGTGTTGCCGCAATGCTGGACAGCCAAACCCACAGGGAGGTCGGCAATTTAGAATCACCCTAAGCCCAATAACTGCATGTCTGCACGACTGGAGGACCCATGCAGACAGCCCAGACAGTGGATTCAAAGCTGGGACCTGAAAACAGGGATGAGGGTGTGAAATAGACTGTGGAGGGACGAAGACAGAACAAATGCTAAAAAGAGTCGCCACACTGGCTGGTTGTTGACACAGGGTGACCTGCTAAGGTTAAGTCTACGTGTGGGAAACAACGGAAGGGAAACTGCGAGGACCAAGCAGACAAATGTTTTCAATTTTCACGATGTAAATGCATGAAGCACTTCGGATCTCTTTACAAGCAGGACCTGTGACTCTCCTCGGGGGTGTGGCTTTCTGAATCACAATGCTGCCACGAGCTGGTGGGTTTAAGAAAGGGGAAGGGGCAGCAGAGGCAGACTGATGGTGGATGACATGATGAGCATGAATCAGTTTAAACTCTTGACACGATGCAGCGACTTACCGTCCATCTGCCGCAACAGTCAACATGCAAACGTCAAAGTGCCGCAGGTTAAAGCTCGACCCCCTCACTACTGCTTCATCAGGTCTGATCAGGTTTTATCTGGTGCAACAATGAATGCTACCCAAACATTTAAAAAGGGGAAAACTAGTCCTGAACCTCTGTAACAGATCTACAGTTCAGCTCTCAGGCAGCGATTAAAGAGTTCGGCTTTAACATGCTTCATGTGAAATACTCACACACCAAAACAGCAAGAAACCAATGAACAAAACTCCCGGCAACAACGACACGAGACAGAAAACAAAAGCAGAAATTAGTGAGCAGACAAACAACACATTAAGAAGCACACAGAAAACACAGGAAGTTCTTCAGTCTGCAAAATACTGGAGACAAAGTACGAATAAACAGAGTCACTGACAGACTGAAGAGTGAAAATAAAAACTGGACACGGACGAAAGCTTGAAGCAAATACCTCTGGATGCCCTGGAAGGTGCTGCTGGCCATGTCCACGATGCCGCCTGTCGGCCGAGCCACCACCCCCACCAGACCTTTACCGATCCCCTTAAAGAAACCCGCTGCTCCCTCCTTCTTCGCTCCTACAGAGAAAGACAGAGTAACTGCTCTGATCCTCTGCAGCTCCAGAGTCTACATTTGCAGTTTTGGGTTTTCTTGCATTTCTCTGACAGAAAGGTCAGAGAAATTAGTCTGGATGTTGAATTTCATCATCACTCACAGTAGTGTACTGCACTCTGCTGCAAAGAACATGTTTCTGTTTTCCTTCAGATGGAGACTCTACAGGTGAATATGGTCAAAATGTAACTAGTAAACGTCACTATGCGAAAGCTCAAAGTTCGTATCTGCTGTAGATTTGCACCAATTTGCATATATTTACAGAAGACATATGAGCACACTGGATAAAGCTGGGTTCAACATTCATGGTAACATTTTGTCTGTCTCCATCAAGCAAAGTCTCTCTGCTCTCTTCTTTTTCCTTCACCCCCAAACTGAGTGTTTGCAGCAGCAGTGTGGGTTTCACGGCAGAGGAGCACGTACCCTCCACAGGTTTGGTGACGATGCCGGTTACTCCGCCCACGACTCCCTGCAGAAACAAGAACTGTTACTGAACTGCATCGGGCTCACATCAGGACACACAAACCTCTGAACTCTGTCACTCTGTACCTTCAGCAGTCCTTTTCCTCCTTTAGCCAGACTTTCTCCAAAGTCTTTGGGTGGTCGGTTCATCTCCTCACGTCGCTTCTGTTGGTACTCTTTATCCATAGTGATGGCTGCCAGACCTTTACCAACCGATCCCGTGATCTTGGAAACCATGCCTGCGGCGCCACCTGCACGAGGAATCAGCTCGCTAATAATACTGATCGTAGTGGTCATCATCTGTCCTGGTTGGCATTAAATCAGTCACTGCGCATCCATCATGCCTCTGGCTTTCTTACCGACTGTGTGGCCCAACAGGCTGCGGACACCGATCACAAAACCTTCAGCAAACTCCTCCGGACCCTGAACGGCTCCCTGACAAACACAAACCACTTTTATTTCATCTGGATTCTCCTGCCTGTCAGTTTCTCAGCTCATGATCCAAAAATAAGACTGACATCAGAATCTTTCCTGGTAACTATCAGAAAAAAGTCGATTACGTCGTCGTGTAGTTCAGGATGAGTTACCTGGAAAGGCTCATAGAAGAAGGCCTCCACCCCCTCAGACAGACCTCGGATCAGTCCAAATGGATTTCCCAGCACGTCCAGACCCAGAACCAGAACATACATCTGCTTCAGGAACTGCAGGCAGAGAAAGACACCAGGTTTTCTTTCTTGAGATTTTAAAATACGACCAATGGTGCCCCCCAGCCTCGTTGTAGATACACCTATGGCATCAATTTGAAAATCCTACGTTGCTTCGTTCTCAAGTTATCGCATTCCCA